AAATTAACACGCCAACAATTCAATCAATAATTAAGCACACACACAACAATCATCATATCAATAATTCACGAAATATAAATAAAATAAAACAATTAATCTAAGCACTCAATAAAACAAATCAATTAAAAACTAAAATAAACGCAATTAATTCAAATTAAATCAAATACATCATTTAAAAATAAAATAAAAGTAATTAATTCCAATTAATAAATCATTTAAAATATCGGGGTATTACACTTAGGGCCTTAGAAGTGTTAGTTCTAACTCTGTTTATGAACAAATAATGTTTTGGCATTTAAGACTAAGACATCCTAACTTTCCATATATTAAACATTTGTTTCCTACTTTATTTAAAGGTTTGGATTGTTCATCCTTCTATTGTGAAAGTTGTTGCTTGTCTAAGAGTCATCGTACTACTTATTTGTCAAAAACCTTATACTTCTTTAAAACCATTTTATTTAATACATAGTAATGTTTGAGGACCTTCAAGAGTCACTACTATCTTTAGGAAAAAATGGTTTGTTACTTTTATAGATAATCATATCCGTTTATATTGGGTTTATTTGATGAATGAAAAGTTTGAGGTTAAAATTTTTTTAAAGAATTTTTACACAATGGTCGAAACTCAGTTTCAAGCAAAAATTAGCATTTTTCACACCGATAATGGAATCGAGTATTTTAATGAAATTTTGGGGAGTTTTTTGAAAGAAAAGAGCATCCATCATTAGTCTACTTATATGGATACACCTCAACAAAACGAAATTGCTAAAAGAAAAAATAAACATTTACTTGAAGTGGCTCGTGCTATAATGTTTTCAATGAATGTTCCAAAATATCTTTGGGGGGAAACTATTTTAACAGCTTTGTATTTGATTAACAAAATGCTTACACGTGTTTTAAAATATAGCATGCCATTAGAATGTTTCAAAAGAATTTTTCCCTTATCAATGATATACTCGGATTTACCTCTAAAGGTTTTTGGCTGCATAGCTTTTGTTCATACACCTAATAATACTCAGTCCAAACTTGATCATCGAGCTGAAAAATGTGTTTTCATAGGAAATGCTTCTAATCAAAAGGGATATAAGTGCTATAATCCCCAAACAAAAAAAAATTATGTGAGTATGGATGTCTCTTTCTTTGAAAATAAATCCTACTTTCACAAAAATTCTCTTCAGTGGGAGAATGAGGTAATGGAAGAAATTTTTTGGGATTTATCTCCTACTCCTTTACCAAATGTGATTTTGACTACTTCACCTCATCATACTATTATTCTCGAAATTCAAAGTCAGGAACAATGTGATAACACCAATGAAAACAATGAAGGGAATCTTAGTCATATAGTGCCAAACATTACTGTATCTGAAATAGGGAAAGAATCACTACAACCGGGCACAAAAGTTCCCAATACTAAGTCTCTGGTTTATACTCGGAAAAGACCTCATCAAATCAATCTCGACCTCCGGGAATTGGACCTCAAGATATCATAGGTAATTCTGTTCCTAACTTATCTTCATTTCTTGTTGCTTTTCCTAACCAAGAACCATCAGACCTTGATATTCCTATAGCTATTTGGAAAGGTATTCGAATTAAATATCCAAATCCAAAATATCCAATTGCCAAATATTTAATATTTTTCTTCTGAAAAACTCTATCATACTCATAGGGCTTTTACCTTAAAAATCTCATACTTGTTTGTCCCGAGAAACATTCATGAAACTCTTGATGATCTGAATTGGAAGTTAGCAGTGATAGAAGAGATGGATGCCCTTAGAAGAAGTGGTACTTCAGAGATAGTTGATTTACCTAAAGAGAAAACAACAGTAGGTTGCAAGTGGATCTTTACTGTGAAATGTAAAGCTGATGGTAGCATAGAGAGGTACAAGACAAGGCTAGTAGTAAAAGGGTTCACCCAGACCTATGGAATTGATTATCAAGAAACTTTTGCTCCTATAGCCAAGATAAACTCACTCAGAATCTTGTTATCTTTGGCTGTGAATTTCAACTGGCCATTACATCAGTTAGATGTAAAAAAATACCTTTTTTAAAAGGAGATCTTGAAGAGGAGGTCTTTATGAATCTACCACCTGGGTTTGAGGGAAAATTGGGACCTAATAAAGTCTATAGACTGAAAAAATCTTTATATGGTTTCAAACAGTCTCCTAGAGCCTGGTTTGCGAGATTTGGGAGAGCTGTGAAGAATTGTGGCTACTGTTAGAGCCAAGTTGACCATACCATGTTCTACAAACACAGTAGAGAAGGCAAGGTTGCAGTCTTAATTGTCTATGTGGATGATATAGTCTTGATAGGTAATGACAATGAAGAATTGGAGAGACTAAAAAAGAGGCTTGTAGCTGACTTTGAGATTATGGATTTAGGTGCATTAAAATACTTTATTGGAATAGAGTTTGCTAGATTCAAAGAAGGTATATTTGTGAATCAACGTAAATATGTTCTTAATTTACTTAGCGAGACAGGTCTGCTAGGATGTAAACCAGCTGAGACACCCATTGAGCCCAACCTTAAACTACAGCCTTCTAAAGATGAAGAAGTTCTGAATAGAGAGTAGTATCAAAGACTTGTTGGAAGACTGGTCTACTTGTCACATACACGTCCAGATATAGTTTTTGCAGTCAGTATGGTTAGCCAGTTAATACATTCACCTAGACGAGAACACTTTGATGCAGTCTACAAAATTCTTAGTTATCTAAAGGGGACCCCTGGAAGAGGTCTACTGTTAAAAAACCGTGGGCATTTGCAAGTTGGAGCCTATACTGATGCGGATTGGGCTGGGAATGCTATTGATAGACAGTCAACTTCTGGCTACTGCACCTTTGTTGGAGGTAACGTTGTTACTTGGCGAAGAAAAAACAGAATGTGGTAGCAAGAAGCAGTGCAGAGGCCGAGTTTAAATCAGTTGCTCATGGAATTTGTGAGGGGTTATGGATTAAGAGACTATTGGAAGAATTAAAGGTCTCTAATTTGTTGCCTATGAAATTGTATTGTGACAATAAAGCTGTTATTTCAATCGCTCACAATCAACCTATGGTATCACCGAATTGCAACAGGAAGCTAAGTTGGTATTGGACGAACTGCTCAGCAGCAAAATCCAACTTCGATACGAGATGTCGGAAAATGGGTCTCAAAACTTAGATAAGCGAGACGTGTAAGCATTGCGAGGTGTTAAGCCACCGGTGCTTCATGATAGAACAAAGTACGTGGAGGTAGACAAACACTTCATCAAAGAAAAGCTCAAAAATGGATTGATCTGTATGCCGTACATTCCTACTACCGAGCAAGTTGCAGATGTGCTTACAAATGGATTTCCTACAAGACAGTTCAACAAACTAATTGGCAAGTTGGCTATAGAAGATATCTTCAAACCAGCTTGAGGGGGAGTGTTAAGAATGAAAGATTTGGTAGTAATACTACCAAATATTATTAGCTGTAAATATAATATTTGGAGGATATTTGCTGTAAATAGAATATTTGTCAAATGCAGTTAATTAGGAAATTATTACTTAAGCCAATTAGCTATTGTAATCTTTTTCTGATTTTGTGCGTGTATTCTCTCCTACAAAGAGAATCCGTGTAAACTTATGAATAGTGAGCTAATACAAAAACAGTTCATCTCATATTTCCTTCCCTTTCAAGTTTATATAATCTCAAGTCTGATTTGAGTTAATTCTTAAGCTCAAACTCAAGCTAAAAATCAAGATTATTGAAAGAACAAAATGAAAGGATTCCTAAGTCATGTACACAAGTCTTATTATTCATGAACACCAATTCATGAATATGTACTAAAGAGCCAAGCTATGTGTTCTTCGGACTCAACTCGCTTACCAATCTAGCTTAAAAAATGAGTCGAGCTCGAGTTGAGCTTTAACTAAATAGTGATACTTGTTATTGAGTTCACTCATATATATTATACAATGGATGGTATGAGACAGGGGCGGAGCCAGGATTTTGTTTCAGAGGGGGCACAATGCACTTGTTAAAAAAAAAAAAATTTAATAAATATGACAAATAGGAAGTGTAATTTTTTTTAAATCAAAAAGGCAAATAAGAAAAAAATAGTTGTAAAATAATATGCTAAATAAATAATGTAAAAAAAATATAGTTACAAATATAAAAATCAAAATATTAATTAATAATATTTTAATTAAATACAATCACAAATGTCATCGATAAAAATAAATAAGTTTTAAAAAAAAGAAAAATACATAATTATACATAAGTGGAAAAAGAAATTTTTTGAAAAAGGAAACAAAAATTAGAAAAGGAAAAATATATTGTATGCTTAAAGAAGAGATATATGTAACTTTTTTTTTTTTTAAAAAGGAAATTAGAAGAATTTGAAAATTTGAGGGGGGGGGGGGGGGGCACTATTTAAAATTACCATGTAATTATATGTATATACCAAAAATATATACCTATGTATAGTAGGTTGGAGCAAAGTAAGGGGGGCCACGTGCCCCCGGGCCTTAATTGAGATATATGTAACTTTTTTTTTAAAGGAAATTAGAAGAATTTGAAAATTTGAGAGGGAGAACTATTTAAAATTACCATGTAATTATATGTATATACCAAAAATATATACCTATGTATAGTAGGTTGGAGCAAAGTAAGGGGGGAACGTGCCCCCGGGTCTTGATTGGCTCCGCCCCTGGCATGAGAACCACTGTATTAAGTATTATTATTTTTTAGTAATAAAATAGAATTGTCTAAAATTTAATTAAATCTACTTTTGGATTAAGAGAATTGAGGGAAAAAGAGACAGACAAATAAGTAAATAAATAAAATTTAATATTTGGTTGAAAATGAGAGAATAGAAGAAAGGAAAATGAAGAATAAAAATGGATTGCTTAATCCCTATCCAAAAAATGAGAAGATTTATACTAGTATATAAATACATTTATCTAAAATAAAAAAAATGTAAGATAATTTATAATAGCTTAATGGAATAAATCTTATCCAACAAGCCTTAGCTATGGAAAAAAAAAAAAAAACAAGCCTTAGCTTCGATGCGAGCGGTGCTCGAGTTCAACTAAAAAATTTAGATTTTGTAAATTATTATTCGATTTGAGTTTTGGTTGAAAAGTTAATAACTCCGAATTTATTTTGGGACATTATCGAATTAATTTGTTGAAGACGCCAAGAATATAAAACTCTATGCAATAAATTATATTATATGTTTTGAAAATATCAGTTAGTAGACTCAGTCGAATTTAACTCACAAGTTAGAATAGCAATGAGGTCAGAAATGAGGTCAGAATTAAACCTACGATTTCAGCTGCAAATTCAATTTTAATCTCTAAATTTAAGAATGTATTGGACTCGGGTTGAGCGTCCAACTTTAGTTACCATAGATATTTAGGGCTTCAAATGTCCCATGCGATTCGATTTCAAGCCTACGCCGGCCTGATGTTGTCTACTTCACCGTCGTCGAATGATTTTCCCGAAAAGGTAAAATAAAGTTTCCTCAGTCCAAACTTCACGAAAAAAAAAAAAAAAAAAGTTCCTCAGTTTATCTGTCTACACACGCACGCACACACACACACATATATATATATGTATGTATGTATCTGAAAGGGACGGTTTGCTTTGTTTTGGTTTCAATCTGTCATTGCTATATCTTTTATGTTTTAGCTCGAGTTGGGCTTGTCATTTGCTGTCGTGATGTTGGTTTTGATTCAATTGTACGTAGGCACTAGATTGATTTTGCTTCCGAATGTTAAATGTTTCTTATTTTCCTAATTTCTCGGGGTTTTTTTTTTTTTGGGGGAGAGTGTATTTTGTGCCTGTTTACTACATGGGTGTTGTAGTTTGGTTCTTTTTACCCTATGATTCTTTTAGCATTTTGGGTATGTAACAATGAATTGGTTGATGCTTAATGATGTGACTTGAGGAGGATTAATGTGACTTAATGGGTATGCTCCCATTTAGACTTGAGGAGGATTAATGTGGCTTAATGGGTATGCTCCCATTTAGACATTTGGCTTTTTTTTTTTCAAACTTTTGGGATTGATGGTTTGGTGTGTAAGTGTTGTTGGATGAAGTGAGGAAGAAAAGGTACTGGGTGTGGTCACTTGATTTCCAAAATTTTACAAAGTTTGATAATACTAGACTTGATTAGTGGCATAGAATAAATGTGCTATAAGTTAAGGCTTTTAGCCTTTGGAGATGGAGATATGGAAGCCTTAATTTCAATCGGTGAGCAACTAGGAAGAGTTCTTATATACGTAATTCATTCTTGATGTCAGTGTTTGCTGTCTTGAACATCTGTCGTACCCTTCAACTTTAAAGTTCTTTCTTTGTGTCATTTTTTTTCCCCTCTCACCAACAAGCTATTCCATCTGCAGACTGCTTGCAGATGTCCAAACATGAATCTGAAAGAGAAACTTTACGGATTGTTTTGGTTTTGATCTATCATTGCCATATCTTTTATGACTTAGATCGATTTAGGCATGTCATTAGCTGTTGTGATGTTGGTTCTGATTAAAATGTACATAGACAAGTGATTGATTTTGTGACCGAATGTCAAGTTTTTCTTTGCTAATTTCTGAGTGTTTTTTTGGGAGGATCTGTGTCTGTTACTATATGGGTGTTGTAGTTTGGTTCTCTGTGCTCTAATGATTCTTTAAGCATTTTGGGTTTGAAACAATGGATTGGTTGATGTTTAATGAGGCGACTTGAGGAGGATTAATGTGGCTTAATGGGTATGCTCCCATTTAGACATCTGGCCTTTTTTTTTTTCAAACTTTTGGGATTGATGGTTTGTTGTGTAAGTGTTGGCTGGATGGAGTGGGGGGGAAAAGGTAGTGGGAGTGGTCATTTGATTTCCAAAATTTTACAAAGTTTGATAATACTAGACTTGATTAGCGGCATAGAATAAATGTGCTAGAAGTTAAGATTTTTAGCCTTTGGAGATGGAGAAATGGAAGCCTGAATTGCAGTAGGCGAGCAACTAGGAAGAGTTTTTATACACATAATTCATTCTTGATGTCGTCAGTGTTTGCTCTCTTGAAAATCGCCGTGCCCTTCAACTTAAACTTCTGTCTCTGTGTCATTTCTTCCCTCACCAGTAAGCCATTGCATATGCATACTGCTTGCAGATGTCCCAACATTTAGCCATTCAATACCTGTAACTGAGAAAAGGGCTTCAGAAAAAGAAAATACAAACCTCTTAAAATAGGAAAGTTTGTAGTCGATGTGTCCAAGAATGTGGATGTTTTGCTATGTCAAATTATGGGAACAGGACATGGCATGCCACATACCCAAACAGAAAAATATGGTATGACAGGGTCATATGGGCAGTGACATAGTTAATGTGATGATATAATTTTTATGCTAAGAATTGTTTTCTATTAACTCATAAATAAGATAATATCATTAAAATGAATAGGTTGTCGATTTATTTTTGATAACTTATATTAGAATTGTTAGGTCAATAGGACTTAGGTTGGAAATTTTCCTTGATCAAAATTAGAGTGTGTACTTTTGATTTAATTTCTAGTTTAGTTAGAAAATTCACAATTTAGTGTTATGGTGGTTACCTCTTGCTCAAGTTCGAAGATTTAATTCAAGTTACATTCAGGGGTAATTGCGTAATCTTGTACACCAAGGGCATAAAGGTAATTTGACACTTCAAGGCACTCACATACATTAGGGTTCAAGAATATGCTAGGTTCAGAGACAACTTGCTGCAAGGATTATGTTTCCTTCCTAAGTTATAATGAAAGGAATTTGCATTTCTTGAAGGTACTTTTGGAAGTATGAACTGGAATACTCAGTTGTGGATTGTGAATGAAGCCACTATCCGTGTAGCATATCCCAAATCAACATTTTCTGTAAAGGATTAGCTAGTTTTTAAATTTTTGCACTCTAGCGCAGGCACTGTGACATTTATACTTTATTTATTTTTAATTAATATCAATATCTAATAAACATATTAGGATCTCTCTCTCTCTAGCTTCCTGTGACTTTCACAGTTGCCTGAATGTAGTGGCGTTTTGGGAAGCTCTGATAGCATGTCTCCTAATTTGCTCATGCCCAATGACAATTAATGCTCTAGTAAAGATTATTGTTGTTCAAGCTGAAGAGATCTTGATGACGAGGGAGAAGTGATAAAGGTTTTGGGAGTTGTGGTAGTGAATGTAGCATGTTGCCATGTTGGTTAATAACCCCCAATGTTAACATCTATCCAACTAAAGAAAAATAAATTTGGGTTTCATCTCATGCATCCAACTAGTTAGAAACATAGTTTCTTGAGTTGACTAAAACATAACAAGGGGTGTTGGTAGATATCCAAAAGTGGAGAAGTGGTTGAAGCTGGTGTACTTGCTGGAAAACAGAAGAAAGATACAAATACAGACACTGAATGTGGGCGTTCATCTGGTTACAGAACTCCTTACAGCTTATTATGTAACAATCAAAAGATAATATAGGTTTCAGCAGCATGACCTCTACTAGTTTCAACAGCTGTTGCTTTCCTCATTGTTAATCCTCATCACATCTAGGTATGATTTCCCATTGAGCTCGCGAGCAAAGAGACCTTTGAAGTAATCTGCAGCCGCCACTCTTTTGAACGCCGCTGGAGTTTGTCGGGTAATCAAACTAGGTGCAGGACCCATTTCTCCATCATATTTTGGGCTGTAAAATGTGGCGATTGAGAGCCTCTCCTTCACAGAGTTTACAGTTGCACGATGCTCGATGCTACGGTAAGCTCCATTGGTCACAATCTACAAAACAAGGTATGCAGCAGAACATAAAACTGGACAAACTAGAACATTTATTCTAGGATCTCTTGAAGCATTTTACACTTTTAGACATCATATCCTGCACCTCTTTGGTAAATGCCCTTTAATTTGTATAGGATTCATGGTTTTAAACACCTTTTTAAACGGCCATGACTTCTAATCCCATGCTAAAACATCTTTATTTGATTTTGATAAAATATCTGAAGATTTTAGAAGCATGAGTTAGTTCCATCATGACTCGTGGCCATCATTTTTTGATTTGCAGACCTATTACCTCCAAAATGTCTCCAATGTTGACGACGAAGGCACCGGGTAGGGGTTTGACAGGTACCCACATCCCATCTTTTTTGATTTGCAGACCTTCCATTTCATTAACTTGAAGGAGGATGGTGAGGCCAACAGAATCAGAGTGAGGAGTGAGGCCGAGAACCAACTCTGGATGCAGACATGGTGGATAGTAATTCATCCTCATTGACTGCATCCCTTCTTCAAACAACTCTCTTATATCCCCAGCCTCAATCTTTAGAGCTTTAGCTATAAAATCAAGTATCTTCATAGCAAGCTGTTTCAACTGAGCCGCATAAACTTCCAGGGTATCTCTGCATGAAAAACTTAGTAGGCATAAAATCTAGTTGATATACATAGTATATAAAACTCGACACATTTGAGCTGATTTGATCAGGTTCCTTAATCAACCAACTCTGGCCGTGGACTTGAGAACTATGTTTCTGTTTCACCTTTGCAGGTTGTTTTTGTTTTCAAACATTCCTGCGGCTTAGATTCGAATACAAATCATGAAGACATTGAAACGATGAATAAAAAATAGCCATTACCTGTCTAAAAAGTTCTATAAAGCAGATTTCTATTATATGTCGATAAGAGTATTTCTTTGGTTATTCATGATGCTGTGCGTTTGCACAAGTTTGCACGAGTAGGCAGGAAAGAAAAGAACAGAATTAGTTAAGTGAGAAAACAAAGAAAACGAGGGATAATGTTAATCTTTCATGGCATTGGATAAATAAGGAGTAAAAGGAAATGAATAAGATAGCAGTGGCAAAAAGAGAAAATGAAGGACAGAAAATAGGAAGAAAACAAGTAATACAAACTTTTACCTTCAGATTTTTTGAAGAGTTTGAGGGTTTTATGAATTAGTTACTTATAAATTTATAATGGTCTGGCCAATTTGTGATGCCCAGTTTTGGACCATTTACTTATATTTTATTGCGAAAAATCCCCTTTTTGAAACAATTATAATTTGGTAACCAAACATAAAATAATTGCAATAAAGTGACCATAGTCATTATACTGCAATGGTCCAGGTAATATGACTGGTCATTCTATTGCTCGTTGGTAGACATAATCCTGAAATTTTTATTTATTTTTATTTTTTATTTTTTATTTTTATATCTGGTCACTAAATAACAATGTTTCCTTGCTTTCGATTTTTTTTTTTTTTTTTTTTATATACTTCCTTTTGTCATTTTCACAACCTTTGGTGTGTGTGTGTGTGTGTGTGTGGAGAGAGAAGGAGAGTAGAAAACCTGAAAGGGAGAGGGAGCTTGGGGAACAAGTGGGGTTTCCTCAAATTGGTTGGAAGAGTATTCAAGAAAAACAAGTCTCCCCAGTCGAGCTTCTGTTCCTCAGATACAACAAAGGCCTGTCCAAATCCCTCAACTTCTCCTGGTTTCTGCCATAGTTTCTTCTTCTCTTCCATTGGGAGGTTGAAGAATTCTTGAACCTCAACCTTTACTTTCTCCACTGTTGAACTGCTCACTCCATGGCTTATAACCTGCAACACTCACTTGGTCAATGCATTTTATATGACCCCTCTGTTGTTGAAACTTTAATTTAATTTCAATGGATCAAATATAGAGCATTTTTGTTGCAATGATTGAATTTGCATAAGATAAATGAATAATTCCGTGTCTACTTTTTCAGTAAATGAACTAATTTTAGTTTATAAATATATAGGTAGGCTTGCACCTGGAAGAAACCCCATTCTTTGCATGCAGAATCCAGCTTCTTCAACTCCAACTCCGTATGATCTCCACTAAGTAAGTTTTCCATGTCGATGATCGGTACATCGCAGGTAGAAGCAGTGGAGGGTGTGATTGGAGGGTCTTGATCGTCCCGCACGTACCGGGATGGGATTGTGACCAGTGGTTCCTTGGCCAGCTCTTGAACACAAGGCACAAGGATGGAGCTCCCAAATCTTGCACCCTTTTGTTCCATAGCTTCAACTCCTATGTGTGTGTGTGTGTCTCTCTCTACCTCTCTCCGCATATATAACATGGTTCATGACTTTTGTGAAATTTCTTACCTGCCACGGCTAATACTAAAATATGGCACATAACAAGTTGACTTTTAGGAGTGTTGGGGATAATTCAGAGAAAGAAACCTTAATAAGACACGAGAGACATGGTGGTGAAGAAATTACTAAAACTTCTAAGAGTTGATTTTGGTCAATCAAGGACTTAAGTGCAAATTATAAAGGACAATCTTTTATAATTTTTTTTTGAAACCTGTTTCATTTTTTAAAATTGTGGTCAATTAATTGAATTAGGTATGACAATAACCTCTAATAAAGTAATAACATATGTAACCATCATCTGTGAATTTCATTCCAAAGAAAAGTATTATGTAGTGTGACCATAATCAGCTACTGTGACTAATTTGTGATAACCTCTTTCTTTTCTCACCTTTTAAAATTACAATTTGTTTCAATTACTTGAGAATCTCATCCCATGACACAGACTAATTTGTGAAGATTACCGTTTCATTTTTCAATCATACAATCAAATGACTGATTTGTGACAGTAGTGCATACATATATTCAAACAAGGTTGGGGCCAAGTAGGGCCCAGTGGGTGTAGTTGCCCCTACTCAATAAATTTTTTAATTTTAATTTTGTATTCATATTATTCTGTAATTGCAAAATATGCCCCACCTCAAAAGTTTTAAAAAGTTCTTAAAGTTTTAAGGGCAAACTACAATGACTTCCTCTGAGGTTTGGACTAATTGTAACTAAATCTGAGGTTTGCCATTTTGTTGCAAAGACCTCGTAATGTCAGATTTTACAGTAAATTTACATATCTACCCTCATTATTATATTATTAAAAAATTAAAATACCAAGAAATAACAAATGACCTTTTTACCTAATAACATTTATCCTCTTCTTCTCTCTCGTCTCCACCAATTACTCTACCCAGGCCACTTCTACCATCCACCATCACCACCTATAGTGCCACCATCACCACCAAAGTGGGTTTGTATAGCAAGTAACATACGGGTTATATGCGTGTAAATAAATATATATATATATATATAAACCACCATCACCAAGCACCATTACTTCACCACCCCTACCAAGCACTATCTCCTCTTTTTCTTCTTCAAAACTAAAACCCATCTCCAATATTCAATCTCAAGCCTATCTCCTCAGCCGGCGGTTTCGTATTGTACAACAATGCTTTGAATGTAAGTATCTAGGTTAGACCGAATTGAAGGCAAGCTAATCGGCCAAGGGCAAGGTTTAGACGCTCTATTGATCCCAGCGAAACAAAGAAGAAAATAGAGCTCAACCCAAATCGTGACGAAGAAGATCATGCTGAAACTCCATTGATTCAGGCGAACTCAAGTGACGAAGAAGGAATCTGAATGAATCGATAATGGTGGTGGTGGTGGTGTTGGGTTTGATTAAGACACTACAGTGGTGGTGGTGTTGGGTTTGATTAGGGCTCTGCAATCGGTGTCGCGATTGTGGTAGTATAGGGTTTCGATTACAATCGGTGATGGCGGTGGTGGATCGATGAGGGCTCTGCAACCGTGCCACCACAAATTCCTCAAGCGGGTGGTGCAACAGTGGTGACAGACCGGCGAGGATGAGGATGGGCTCGGCTGCGGTGGCTCAGATATATGTTTCGGCCGTAATGGACGGTGGGCGATGGTGACAAATTCACGGCGAGCAAAGATTTGGGCACGGTGATGGCTGCCGTGACTGGTTTGGAAGCTCAGCGGCGATCACGGATTGTCGTGATTGGTTCGGAAGCTTAGCGGCGGTGGCGGACTGCCGTGACTGGTTCGGATATATATATATATATATATATATATATATATATATATATATATATATATATATATATGAATTTACAACCATATTATGTGTGTGTGTGTGTGTGAATTTTGCACACAAAACACATTATTTTATTTGAGTGTTGCAAATGGATTTAGCAGAGCTGCAGAAGTGATGGTGGCGATAAAGAAGTAGAGGTGGGTTTGGAGAGAGAGACAATGGTGACTAAGTGGTTTAAGGGTAGTTTGGTCCATTTCACATGAATTTTATTGTCATTTGTTTCCATTACAAGGGTAATAAAGTCTTTTTACGTTGTTGATGGGCATTTTAGTCACTTCAAACTAATTTTTTGATAAAAAATATTAATTTTTGTTAAAAAATATTATTGTTTGTACGGAGGGGAGGTCATTGCAAAATGGGGAAAACTTCAGGGGGTCACATTGCAACAAAATGGCAAATCTCATGTTTAGTTGCAATTAGTCCAAATCTAAGGAGAGTTCATTGTAGTTTGCCCAAGTTTTAACTATTCCCAATTGTTTCTTGTCTCAGTTTTAGATTTACTCTTTTATCTTACGAAGTGTCTAAATTTTTTTCCCTCAAATCCAATCCAAAGCAAGTTATGCAAAATTGAAATTTCCTCTAAAGGAAAAAAAAAAAAAAAAAAAGAGTAGGATTTTGGTAACATATTATAATATATACGTAGTAATAGTATTGTTAACGAGGTGATTCTGAACAATTTATGAATGCATAAGTGAAACATTATTTATCTATATTTGGTCAATCAGACACTTGATCATTTAAAAAAATATGTTTCCATGCTTGCTTTGTGATGACAGTAGTTTTTCTTACTAATAATCACAATGACAGTATCACAAGAACTGTTCGGTTCTGTTCCTTATAATAGGTTTTTATTTTAAGACGAGATCTGTTTGAAATTTCATTTGGTTAACTGCTACTGAGATTGGATAAAAGTGCAAATTATAAAGAACAATCTTTTATATTTTTTGAAACCTGTTTTATATTTTCAGATTTCTTATAATTGTTTTCAAATAATAGAATCCGGTATGACAATAACCTCTATAAACTATTTACCCAAAAAAAAAAAAATCTAATAAACTAATAACATATGTAACCATCATCTGTCATTTCATTTCAAAGAAAAGTATTATCAAGTGTGACAGTTTGACTCCCTTAAAGTATTATCTGTAATTTTATTATTAGCTGGTAGGTAAGAAATTAAAACTGGCCAAACTAGCTTAAATCACATGTGATTCCCCAAAGCCTTAACTCGGTTATTTTTCAAAATTTTCTTATTATTGTGGGACAGAGGCAAATCTTGCAGATAAAACTTTGTTGAATTGATATGTATACTTGTATTATCAGCTTCTGTGACTAATTTGTGATATCCTCTTTCTTTTCTCATCTTATAAATTACATTTTGTTTCAATTACTTCAGGATCTCACCTTATAAATGACATCTTGTTTCAATTACTTGAGAATCTCTGACAAAGTGTATATAAAAATTTCTCCTACAACCCAAAGCAAATTAATCTTTTCTACTTGGTCTTTTTTTCACTCTCTCAATTTCTATCCCAGCCAAAAGTGCGAAGAGGAAGAAAAAATTGAAATTTCTTGACCCTAAGCCAATACGGAAGAAATGTATGCAAAATTGAAGTTTCCTCTAAAAAAAATGAGAGGAAAAAATAAAGAAAAAAAGTAGGATTTTGTTAGCATATTGAATATATAATGGGTGTTTTTAACTAGGTGATTCTGAACAATATATATAATGGTGTTTGTTTGAATTCTTTTAAAGAATTTTTTTATAATAAAATACGCCTTCACAACATGTCCATCGTGCGTCTGTTGCATGGCATGTTCGTCACATGTTCACGACATGTCTGTTGTCTATCAACGTGTCCCTCATGTGTTCATGACGTGCCCATGGAAATTTTCATACAAGTCTCTGGGCGTCTCTACCGCGGGTTGTGTGCGTGTGCCACGTGGACATTTCGACCGGTTAGTCTTGTCCGTGCTTCTTGGGAAGGGAGAGTATAAGAGATGGATAGATAAGGTATCATAAGGAAAAAAGATGATGTCTAAGGAAGCGTGGAATCTTTCTTAAGGGTGGTTCTTGTGTCCAACGTGTGTAAGAAATTAAGCGAGTGTGAATTTAAACTGATTCCTTCTTTAGTTTACTCTGAAAGAGCCGAACAAGTTAGATAACAAAGCAATAATCATGTCAATTTGAACTTTACCATTCAAGTCAGCCCTATTGACCTCCAGTTCAATTTTTAAATAACAAACAATCATTTTTAAAATACGATCTCATACTGGAGTTCCTTAGGCTATCTTAATGGTATTCAAGTCTGATATAATATTTAGACATCAGCTCTATCTAATCTCACCAAAACATCTCATTGACATTTAACATGATACTTGAAGAAAATAAAATAATGCAAATGTTAGCTTTGGAGCATATTCGAAATAAACTCTAGAATATTGCACCAAGTCATATCATTTGCCTCATTTCATTTATTAAAAGCATTAATGTCAAATTGGGTATCTTAAAGTAAAAAGATTAAGTATAGGAGTAATCAATACATTTAGTACCACTACATTGTGAATAAAATATCTAATTTCCTTTTCCAGTCAATATATATAAGGTCCAGTTACATTGAATATGTAAGCAAGCAGATAAAATGGATTAGACATAATATCTTAATATAAATGCATTCATACAATATATAAGGTGAATTATTAATTTTATCATGCATATTTAAAATTAAAATGAGTTTTGTCAGCCACATAGTATAATAAATCTCAATAGAAAAAGAGTTCATTATCACTATTGGTGAACAATCTCTTTTAATTAATGCGGGTCCCTCAACTTCATAGCATAATAAATCACACAATCAATATGTCAATAACTTATCATGATGGAGGAGTTCATTATTACTATTGTTGAGATTTATTTGCTATTAAGCGAGCAATTCCATTAAAATATATCTGTAGGTCCCTTACCCACTGCATGAAAAACCGGATAACTAGTACGCCAATAACTTATTCGGTTGACGAAGTTCATTATTGCTATTGGCAGTCAAATCCCATCATTTCCATATCTCTTAAGACAATGCTTTGTCTATTATATAAAATGATTTCTGATTATATTTAGCCTTTCTAAAATCACTTAGTGTAGACCACTCCGTTGGGGAGCTAACA